AGAGAGATGTAGGTGGGGGAGAGAGGTAGTGAGGGAGAGAGATGTAGTGAGGGAGAGAGATGGTGAGGGGAGAAAGATGTAGGGGGAGAGAGATGTAGTGAGGAGAGAGATGTAGTGAGGGAGAGAGATGTAGTGGGGAGAGAGATGGTGAGAGAGAGAGATGTAGAGGAGAGAGATGTAGTGAGGAGAGATGTAGTGAGGGAGAGAGATGTTGGAGGGAGAGAGATGTAGTGAGGGAGAGAGATGTAGTGAGGGAGAGAGATGTAGGAGGAGAGAGATGTAGTGAGGGAGAGAGATGTAGTGAGGGAGAGGTAGTGTGTTTGCTCCGCCACTTGAGTAATAAGATGAGTACTAGATCACAGGCAGTCACCAAAGACTCGGTAACCAATAAAGTCAAGTTGTGGGTAATTGAAACACCTGGAGGCCAAGGGTGACGCACTACTGGAGCCTCTACCTGTAATATTCCATATCCTGTAATATAACAACAACTGGAGCCTCTTCCTGTAACACAGCAACACTAGAGCCTCTCTGACACAACAGAGCCTTTCCTGTAACACACCAACACTAGAGCCTCTTCCTGTAACACAGCAACACTAGAGCCTCTTCCTGTAACACAGCAACACTAGAGCTCTTCCTGAACACAGCAGCCTTCTTTTGTAAACCAACACTAGAGCCTCTTCCTGTAACACAGCAACACTAGACCCTTCCTGTAACACAGCAACACTAGAGCCTCTTCCTGTAACACAGCAACACTCAGAGCCTCTTCCTGTAACACAACACAGAGCCCTTCCTGTAACACACCAACACCAGAGCCTCTTCCTGTACTACAGCAACACTAGAGCTCTTCCTGTAACACAGCAACACTAGAGCCTCTAACAGCAACACTAGAGCTCTTCCTAAACCAACATAGAGCCTCTTTCCTGTAACACAGCAACACTAGAGCCTCTTTCCTGTAACACACCAACACTAGAGCCTTCCTGTAACACAGCAACACTAGAGCCTCCTGTAAACAGCAACACAGCTCCTTCTGTAACACAGCAACACTAGAGCCTCTTCCTTAAACAGCAACACTAGAGCCTCTTCCAGAGCCTCCTGTAACACAGCAACACTAGAGCCTCTTCCCAACACAAACACTAGAGCCTCTTCCTGCAACACAGCAACACTCAGAGCCTCTTCCTGTAACACAGCAACACTAGAGCCTCTTCCTGTAACACAGCAACACTAGGCTTCCTGTACAGCAACATTCAGAGCCTCTTCCTGTAACACAGCAACACTAGAGCCTCTTCCTGTAACACAGCAACATTCAGAGCCTCTTCCTGTAACACAGCAACACTAGAGCCTGGTCTTCCTGTAACACAGCAACACTAGAGCCTTCCTGTAACACAGCAACAGTCTCACGAGCTTCCTGTAAAGAGGTCTCCTGAACACAGCAACACTAGAGCCTCTTCTGTAACACAGCAACCTCTTCTAAACACAAACTGAGCCCTTCTTCCTGTAACACAGCAACACTAGAGCCTCTTCCTGTAATACACAACACTAGGCCTCTTCCTAACACAGCAACACTGTCCTTCCTGTAACACAGCAACATTCAGAGCCTCTTCCTGTAACACAGCAACACTAGAGTCTTCCTGTAATACAGCAACACTAGAGCCTCTTCCTGTAACAGCAAAACACTAGAGCCTCTTCCTGTAACACAAGCAACACTAGAGCCTCTTCCTGTAACACAGCAACACTAGAGCCTCTTCCTGTACACAGCAACACAAGAGCCTCCTGTACAGCAACACTAGAGCCTCTTCCTGTAACACAGCAACATCTAGAGCCTCTTCCTGTAACACAGCAACACAGAGCCTCCAACACACAAGCCTTCCAACACAGCAACACTCAGAGCCTCTTCCTGTAACACAGGCAAGCTTCAGAGCCTCTTCCTGTAACACAGCAACACTAGAGCCTCTTCCTGCAACACAGCAACACTCAGAGCCTCTTCCCAACACAGCAACACCAGAGCCTCTTCCTGTAAACAGCAACACTAGAGCCTCTTCCTGTAATACAGCAACACTAGAGCCTCTTCCTGTAATACAGCAACACTAGAGCCTCTTCCTGTAACACAGCAACACTAGAGCCTCTTCCTGTAACACAGCAACACTAGAGCCTCTTCCGTAACACAGCAACACTAGAGCCTTCTGTTGTAGAGCCTTCTTTCTGAACAACAACACTAGAGCCTCTTCCTGCAACACAGCAACACTGGAGTCTCTGTAACACGAAAAGAGCCTCTTCCTGTAACACAGCAAAACTAGAGCCTCTTCCTGTAACACACAGCAACACTTAGAGCCTCTCCTGTAACACAGCAACACTAGAGCCTCTTCCTGTAACACAGCAACACTAGAGCCTCTTCCTGTAACACAGCAACACTAGGCCTCTTCCATAATACAGCAACACTAGAGCCTCTTCCGTAACACAGCAACACTAGAGCCTCTTCCTGTAACACAGCAACACTAGAGCCTCTTCTGTAACAAAGCAACACTAGAGCCTCTTCCTGTAACACAGCAACACTAGAGCCTCTCTTCCTGTAACACAGCAACACTCAGAGCCTCTTCCTGTAACACAGCAACACTAGAGCCTCTTCCTGTAACACAGCAACACTAGAGCCTCTTCTGTAACACAGCAACACTAGAGCCTCTTCCTGTAACACAGCAACAAGAGCCTCTTCTCTAACACAGCAACACTAGAGCCTCTTCCTGTAACACAGCAACACTAGAGCCTCTTCTGTAACACAGCAACACTAGAGCCTCTTCCTCTTCCTGTAACACAGCAACACTAGAGCCTCTTCCTGTAACACAGCAACACTAGAGCTCTTCTGTAATACAGCAACACTAGAGCCTCTTCCTGTAACACAGCAACACTAGAGCCTCTTCCTGTAATACAGCAACACTAGAGCCTCTTCCTGTAATACAGCAACACTAGGGGCTCTTCCTGTAACACAGCAACACTAGAGCCTCTTCCTGTAACACAGCAACACTAGAGCCTCTTCCTGTAATACAGCAACACTGCCTCTTCCTGTAACACAGCAACACTAGAGCCTCTTCCTATACAGCAACACTAGAGCCTTCCTGTAATACAGCAACACTAGAGCCTTCCACACCTTCCTTAGCAACACTAGAGCCTTCCTGTAACAGCACCTCTGACAGCAACAACAGCAACACTAGAGCCTTCCTGTAACACAGCAACACTAGAGCCTCTTCCTGTAACAGCAACATTAGAGCCTCTTCCTGTAACACAGCAACACTAGAGCCTCTTCCTGTAATACAGCAACACTAGAGCCTCTTCCTAACACAGCAACACTAGAGCCTTCCCTGTAACACAGCAACACTAGAGCCTCTTCCTGTAACACAGCAACACTCGAGCCTCTTCCTGTAACACAGCAACACTAGAGCTTCTTCCTGTAACACAGCAACACTAGAGCCTCTTCCTGTAATACAGCAACACTAGAGCCTCTTCCTGTACACAGCAACACTAGAGCCTCTTCCTGTAACACAGCAACACTAGAGCCTCTTCCTGTACAGACAGCAACACTAGAGCCCTTCCTGTAACACAGCAACACTAGAGCCTTCCTGTAACACAGCAACACTAGAGCCTCTTCCTCTAATACAGCAACATAGAGCTCTTCCTTAACACAGCAACACTAGAGCCTCTCCTGTAACACAGCAACACTAGAGCCTTCCTGCAACACAGCAACACTAGAGCCCTTCCTGTAACACAGCAACACTAGAGCCTCTTCCTGTACAGCAACACTAGAGCCTCTTCTGTAACACAGCAACACTAGAGCCTTCCTGTAACACAGCAACACTAGCCTCTACGCAAACAGAGCCTCTCTTAACACAGCAAAAAGCCTCTTCCTGTAACACAGCAACACTAGAGCTCTTCCCTAACACAGCAACACTAGAGCCTCTTCCTGTAACACAGCAACACTCAGAGCCTCTTCCTGTAACACAGCAACACCAGAGCCTCTTCCTGTCAACACAGCAACACTAGAGCCTTTCCTGTAACAAGCAACACTGGTTTTTCCTAAACGCAACAGAGCCTCCCTGTAACACAGCAACACTAGAGCCTCTTCCTGTAACACAGCAACACTAGAGCCTTCCCAACAGCAACACTAGAGCCTCTTCCTGTAACACAGCAACACTAGAGCCTCTTCCCTAACACAGCAACACTAGGCTCTCTGTAACACAGCAACACTGAGCCTTCCTCTAACACAGCAACACTAGAGCCTCTTCCTGTACAAGCAACACTAGGCTCTCCCTGTAACACAGCAACACTAGAGCTCTTCCTGTAACACAGCAACACTAGAGCCTCTTCCTGTAACACAGCCACTAGAGCCTCTTCCTGTAACACAAGCAACACTAGAGTCTTCCTGTACACAGCAACACTAGGCCCTTCCTGTAACACAGCAACACCAGAGCCTCTTCTGTAACACACACCAGAGCCTCTTCTACAGCAACACTAGAGCCTCTTCCTGTAACACAGCAACACTAGAGCCTCTTCCTGCTTTAGCAACACTAGAGCCTCTTCCTGTAACACAGCAACCCCACTAGAACCTCTTCCTGTAACACAGCAACACTGACCTCTTCCTGCTTAACACAACAGCCTAGAGCCTCTTCCCATAGCAGCTTACAGCAACACTAGGGCCTCTTCCTGTAACACAACCCAACACTAGAGCCTCTTCCTTGTAACTTGCAACAACACTAGAGCCTCTTCCTGTAACACAGCAACACAGAGCTAGAGCCTCTTCCTGTAACACAGCAACACAAGAGCCTCTTCCTGTAACACAGCAACACTAGAGCCTCTTCCTGTAACACAGCAACACTAGAGCCTCTTCCTCTAACACAGCAACACTAGAACCTCTTCCTGTAACACAGCAACACTAGAGCCTCTTCCTCTAACACAGCAACACTAGAACCTCTTCCTGTAACACAGCAACACTAGAGCCTCTTCCTGTAACACAGCAACACTAGCGCTGCCTCAAGATGACCTCAACAACCTAAAACACAACACCAATAGACGACTTCACTTCCAGGTCAACGCCTCGGTCCTGGAACCTGATCCAGACCTAAACTTGGGTCGTTAGCAGGTGTTTGGTACTTGTCTGGAAGTGCTGGAGGACTTCCAGAGAGTTGTCGACCTTGGTCGAGGAGCTCTGGAAAAACTGGAAAGACGCACCTTAAGCACCTTCTGGAAGACGGCGTCCAGGACTGGAGTCTAGGTCATGGAAGACAAGAAAGAACTGGAAGTCCTCCAGTAATTTACCAGGAGGACGCTCAAGATGTGGAAGAGTTTGATATGAGAATAAGACCAGGAAGTTAGACAATTCTATTTCCTGGAAGTGACGTTCACTCCTAAAAGATCAGCCTCTGGATAACAATACCTCAAGAAGATATAAGATATAACAGAGGAACTCTTGGGGTTCTAAATATATCACAGTGAGAGAGAGAAATACCTGCCGCTAAAGAGACTCCTGAACCTTAATATCTTTAAACTTTTACGACGTTGAACCAGCCAGAGCGGGTCGGGAGGAACTGGATGACAGGACAACTGGCAGCGAGTGTTTTAGTAACTATGGCTGGAGGAACTGGAATATCTACAAGTGGTGTACCGACAACTGTGGAGATGATACTGACGGAAAAACCTGGAGGAACACACCCTGGGGGAGCCCGTAGGTACTGACCATTAGGGAGAGGTAGTCCCCCTTGACCACCTGGAGACGGTCACTAATATACAACACCTGGAGGAACACACCCTGGGGGAGCCCGTAGGTACTGACCATTAGGGAGAGGTAGTCCCCCTTGACCACCTGGAGACGGTCACTAATATAACAACACCTGGAGGAACACACCCTGGGGGGCCCGTAGGTACTGACCATTAGGGAGAGGTAGTCCCCCTTGACCACCTGGAGACGGTCACTAATATAACAACACCTGGAGGAACACACCCTGGGGGAGCCCGTAGGTACTGACCATTAGGGAGAGGTAGTCCCCCTTGACCACCTGGAGACGGTCACTAATATAACAACACCTGGAGGAACTCACCTTGAAGAGTCTGAGGATGTTGGCGATCATGACGGAGACGGAGGAAGAAGCTGCCCCGATGACGCCGATGACAGGCTTGGGAGGGGTGTAGATGGGTTTCTTCCCTCCCTTACACTTGAAGTCAGACGCATCCTGCAACACCCAGAACATGACGTTAAATGAGGCTCACGTCAAAGAACAACTTAAAGTAAGAGATACATCGCCAAGGTAAACTATCATGTGCCTGGCGTTCGACTACAGTACATCCTTCATAATCACATCGCCACCTTCCCCACCTCCCCGTCTGCCTTTAAGTAATCATACAGCCTCTCACCTGGACACAGTTGTCACCACACTAACATAAATAAGTTACTCTGACACAACAACTGACACATAACTGACACCTTCACCAACATATGTTAGGTAGAGTACGTTCCAGGTAGCAGTGCGGTCGTAGCTCCTTTATGCCTCTACAAAATATTCATACAAATTCATGTTTAGTAAAAGCGACTCGCATTATTGTGACATCGGGATTAAAGTCACCGAAGCGTAAAATTCTTCTTTAATATGTTTCACAATTTCATACGTAAGAAAGTCGAATATATTTTTCTTTCCCGGAGTAAAATGTGAAGCTAACCAACCAGGTTCCTTTTATTTGATCAAAAGGAACCACAAAATTGTATTACAAAAATGACAAATACGTTTTTCTCGGTTCGCTCCTCAACGACAAGAAGACTATGGAGTGTATGTTGTGTTGTGTTGTGTTGTGTTGTTGTAATGTGTTGTGATGATGTGTTGTGTTGTATTGTCTTGTGATGTTGTGTTGTGTTGGGTTGTTGTATTGTGAGGTTGTGTTGTGTTGTGTTGTGTTGTTGCATTGTGTTGTGATGTTGTGTTATGATGTTGTATTGTATGTCTTGTGATGTTGTGTTGTGATGTTGTATTGTATTGTATTGTGCTGTGTTGTGTTGTTGTATTGTGTTGTGATGTTGTATTGTGGTGTGATGTATTGTGGTGTGATGTATTGTGTTGTGATATTGTATTATGTTATATTGTTGTGTTGTGTGTTTTGTGTTGTGTTGTATAGTGAAGTGTGCTATGTATGTATGTACACTGGCACCAAAAACTATCGGTGCAGGGTGAGATCGACGAGTTCCGAAACGATACGTACACACTGTGATATGTCGGGAAGGTTGGTAAGTGTATCCTCATAACCTCCACTAGGTGTTGCCTTATAGCTGACTATCAGGGCTGCCAACATATGGCTGGAACAACTCGCCTTTCTCAATATCTATCGTCACTGGTCTCAAATTGTTCACACTACAGTATGCACCGATACTTTTTGTTGCGAGTGTACAATCGCCTGCACTTATACCTGGTACAGTGACTGGTGCATTTTGTAAGATGTGGCACCAGTGGGTTTGTTTACATCATATTAAAACTCTCGTAATGGCATAATAAGTAATCCTACAGCATTGCCACGTCTCACAAAACTCGCCAGCCACTGTACCAGGTATAAATGCAAACGACTGTACATTACACGACGTCGCTACAAGAGTACAGACCTGGGGTGAAGCCATTAACAACAGGCTGAGGACAACTACAAAAATGGTAACTGAGGTGAAGATGCAGGACAGACAGAGACAGACAGACAGAGTAAACAGACAGACAGACAGAGTAAACACAGACAGACTCAGACCAACACCCACAGTACAGTGAGGGGACAGACATATTAATATCTCAGTTCACTGGTCACTTGGCATCATAATATAGAGTGCCAACCCCTCGGCCGTCTCTCTCTCTCTCCCTCCATTCCTATCTTTATTAGTATCTATGTCACTCCCTTATCCTATCGTCATATCTCCCATTCCTCTCTTTCATTCTTCTGTATCTCTCTTCCTCTTCATTTATTTCTATTTTATATATCTCTTCAATATTCCTCCTTTGTTATTAGTTACAGTGAGACCTTTTATTTAACGGACTCTATGGGGGAGGAAAGTTCGTTATATCGAGGGTCTGTTAGATGTGAAAACTCCATTTAACGGATACATGAAGAGAAGTTCGTTATATGGAGGTTTTATTATTATTATTATTATTATTATTATTATTATTATTATTATTATTATTATTATTATTATTATTATTATTATTATTTTTCCCACAGTCTATACCCACGTTGTTCCTCCCACAGTCTATACCCACGTTGTTCCTCCCAGAGTCTATACCCACGTTCTTCCTCCCTCAGTCTATACCCACGTTGTTCCTCCCACAGTCTATAACCACGTTGTTTCACTCCACAGTCTATAGCCACGTTGTTCCTCCCACAGTCTATAACCACGTTGTTTCCTCCACAGTCTATACACGTTGTTCCTCCCACAGTCTATACCTGTTGTTCCCCCACAGTCTATAACACGCTGTTCCTCCCACAGTCTATACACGTTGTTCCTCCCACAGTCTATGCCATATTTGTTCCCCACAGTCTATACCCACGTTGTTCCTCCACGGTCCTATAACCACGTTGTTCCTCCACAGTCACCTACACCCACGTTATTCCTCCACAGTCTATACCCACGTTGTTCCTCCCACAGTCTATACCCACGTTGTTCCTCCACAGTCTATAGCCACGTTGTTCCTCCCACAGTCTCTATAACCACGTTGTTCCTCCCACAGTCTATACACGTTGATTTCCTCCCACAATCTATACCCACGTTGTTCCTCCACAGTCTATACACGTTGTTCCCACAGTCTTTACCCATGTTGTTCCTCCCACAGTCTATACCCATATTTATTCCCCCACAGTCTGTAACCACGTTGTTCCTCCCACAGTCTATACCCATATTTATTTCCCCACAGTCTATACCCACGTTGTTCCTCCCCACAGTCTATACCCACGTTGTTCCTCCCACAGTCTATACCCATGTTGTTCATCCCACAGTCTATACCCATGTTGTTCCTCCACAGTCTATACCATATTCCCCAGTCTATACCCGTTGTTCCTCCCACAGTAGTCTATACCCACGTTGTTCCTCCCACAGTCTATACCCATGTTTGTTTCCTCCCACAGTCATACCCACGTTGTTCCTCACAGTCTATACCCACGTTGTTTCCTCCCCACAGTCTATACCCGTTGTTCCTCCCACAGTCTATACCCATGTTGTTCCTCCCACAGTCTATACCCACGTTGTTCCTCCCACAGTCTATACCCACGTTGTTCCTCCCACAGTCTATACCCACGTTGTTCCTCCCACAGTCTATAACCACGTTGTTCCTCCCACAGTCTATAACCACGTTGTTCCTCCCACAGTCTATACCCATGTTGTTCCTCCCACAGTCTATACGCATGTTGTTCCCCCCACAGTCTATACACACGTTGATCCTCCCACAGTCTATACCCACGTTGTTCCTCCCACAGTCTATACACGTTGTTCCTCCCACAGTCTATACCCACGTTGTTCTCCCACAGTCTATACCCACGTTGTTCCTCCCACAGTCTATACACACGTTGTTCCTCCCCCACAGTCTATACCCATGTTGTCCTCCCACAGTCTATACCCACGTTGTTCCTCCCACAGTCTATAACCACGTTGTTCCTCCCACAGTCTATAACCACGTTGTTCCTCCCACAGTCTATAACCACGTTGTTCCTCCCACAGTCTATACCCACGTTCTTCCTCCTCAGTCTATACCCACGTTGTTCCTCCCACAGTCTATACACACGTTGTCTCCACAGTCTATACCCATGTTGTTCCTCCTCCCACAGTCTATACCCATGTTGTTCCCCCACAGTCTATACCCACGTTGTTCCTCCCACAGTCTATACCCACGTTGTTCCTCCCACAGTCTATACCCATGTTGTTCCTCCCACAGTCTATACCCATGTTGTTCCTCCCACAGTCTATACCCACGTTGTTCCTCCCACAGTCTATACCATGTTGTTCCTCCCACAGTCTATACCACGTTCTTCCTCCCACAGTCTATACACGTTGTTCCCACAGTCTATTAACACGTTGTTCCTCCCACAGTCTATACCCACGTTGTTCCTCCCACAGTCTATACCCACGTT